TTTTCCCCTCCCCAGAGTTCAGGACACATCTGACATGTCAATCATTGCGGCCTCCACTCATAAAGAGTTTTAAAATAACTGCAAGCCTTGCAGAATTCACTGTCCAAAAACCATTAGTTGCAGCTGGCTTAAAAAACAAAAACACGTTAACTTCACATTCACAGAGTTCTGAAAAGTACAAAATTAATTCTAGATTCCAGAAATGCAGTTACTTACTGGGATGTAAAGAATATATAAAAACAGTGGTACAAAAATTAAAATATACTTCAGTTCTTCATCTCAGAGCGTTTTCCTAACGAATCCGATGCTTAAACATGGAAATAGCCACCCTTAACCCTACGCCGTATCTGCGTAGGCAATCGGCCATGACAGAACTCGAAAACAAGGGAAACCGTGTTAATTACAAGGCGAACTAAACCTTCTACGAGAATATAAACCTGTGAATGTGTAAGCCAAGGCTACAAACATTTGGCTTTCAATTGTTACTCCCACCACAGCTGGCTTAATTAAATTGTTAACCCTGATAATAAAAATATTCTTATAGATCGAGTCTAAGAGTATCTTCGTAAGTGGTACTGTTCTGCCTGCATTACAATTAACACCGAAATGCCAATGATCCACACATCATTACGATGATTACATTATTTACACAACCTAACAAGTTATCTTGTACTGGATAAAATCATCCCGATGTTTTATAGGTTATTTTTACATTGCTACTACATCGATGTACAATATCGTCACTGAATCAACCTACCAGCGTCACCTTTAAACATGTTTCAACTCTCAGACTGACATCCACACTGTCACCGTGCTTTTAAATGCAAATAAACTGACTGCATGATTTTATACAGTACCACCAAGGAATTGTAAAAGGAATAAAACAGATCAAATGATAAAACAGCGCAATGCTGAAAACCGTCATCCGAGTATTGGTACACGTGTGACGACAATTAAAAAATGTTGTTCAAAGGTGACACCAGTAGGTGGCTCTAGTGAAAATATTGTAGTCCTAATTCTGGGCTTCCCTCACACGCACAGGAAAGGGCAAACGTGAAATCATATTTCTGTTAAAAAGTAAAAAATACCTAAGAACTGTTAGAAAAAAAAATCAATAAGAAATTTAAGCAAGAAATTATATGGATTGATGAAAAAATATTAGGATTGTAGTCTTCTGGGTTGAGGTTAAAGTCGTCATGTCACACTGCTGATGATAACTGCAGTGGTGCCACAGAAAATATGTCTACACACTCCCCTTACCTCACTTTATAATATCTACAGGTAATACAGCATGATTAAACAATTTATAAATCACCACCGAACAAGTTTTCTTCAGCTCATTAAAATCAGAATACAGCAGATCTAAATCGTGCTTAGGGAGTAATGAAGGGGTGGTTTTTGGATAATTATTAAGAAATGTCAATAATGTGCGAATATTTTAACTTTTATAAAGAACCTTTACCTCATGTCATCCCGGTTAAAAACAAGTTTTACAAACGAAAGGAAGGAATTTCTTTAAGAAATACAGTACCAGAAAAATACTGCAATTATTTATTTCCATAAGCATGGTGGTGTTTCTACAAGATGTAAATTTTATGGCCTACTAGGTGTTCAGTCATAAATTTTACACTTTTTTAATGTCATCAAAATTCTGACAATTATTGAGTTAAGAAAGTTTTGGGTGCATTTAAAAGCTGTCTTCTAAAACAACTTACTTCAGGAGCAGCAATTCATCTCTTGATAGAAACCCTTGTTTTAGAGGACATAAAATTTAAAGAAAAAACATTGTTGGACATAGTTACATAAATATACCTTCCTTCAGCATGAAGATATGAACAGAATAAGTAACTGAGGACAGACCGACATTTCTGAATATGGAGATGAACCTTTGGATTCCATAAACACAGAGTTTTTTTTCAGATAAATATTCAATGTTTAATATAGATCCTCACTATGGCATTCATTTGCTAGTTATACATTTTTTTCGATACATGCAGACTGTAATAAACAGCAAACACGCACAATCAAAATACACAACAATGTTACCTTTTCAGTCAAAATTAATACCTACATACATTTTCATATGCTATGAACTATAATTCTCCACATAAATTATAAACTCTAGAAAATACTTCTTATTTCATCCAACATGCAAACCAAATTAAATAATTTAGATTTTCAAGCTAACTTAATTTACCATGTACAGAACTTCCATCAAGCACAATGGTGACGCACTCACTACTGAAGAGACGTCCACTACCTTCGCAACAATTGGATGCACTACTAAAGTGAAGTTTACCTTCACAATAACTGATTAAGCTGCACTGTCCCTAGCAATAATGATAACATTTAACATTGATTTATGATTCACAATTGTTATGTTTCATCCTGCAACAGCATTCACTGTAGTAAACAATTCTCATGTAACACTGACACTTGCATGAAGGTAGATAACACTGTTTCATTACAAATATCCATTTCTGTACTGCCTGTCAGAATATAATTTGCAGGCTGTTATTGACAGAAGATGGTAGGGTGTCTGCAGATAAGGGGCAAAGTGAGAGATAAGGACAAGCCAACTGGCTGTTCTCTGCTAATCATTCACTTGCACCACCCATGCTTATTAAAAAACAAACAAAATAATGTGGCAGACCTTGGGACATGTAATAATGCTGTTCTGCTTCAAATTAAACTAAAATATAAGTAACTAAATTAATACTTGCATATATATATACACGTCACACGGTTTTCCGCACTCCTTGTAAAATGAACAGAATGGTTTATAGGAAAGAGCCTTCCAATCACTGAGAACTAAATATTCGTCTGGCTGGCATACTTATTAAGACACTGGAACAAATGCCAAATAAATTGTTTTAATATCACGTATCTGACCTTCACCTACTTACCTCGATCATATCAATTACTACTTCCGACTTGCCAATACCAACATCATAACCTAGACTGACTTCATGGTAGACCTTGACCATAGGCAAACCGATTTGCGACAAAACGCCCTTAAAAACAATACCACGTGTCAACACTGATATGACACATAACCTATGCATCACAACACAATTAAATCGACGTTAATTATTAATACAGATGACCTACATCTCAATTCCACGTCAAACTATCACACCGTGGTCTAGTAACAAACATTACTATAATGAACGTATAGGTCCATTCATTGGGAGCAAATCATAACAAACCAGCGTGTTTACTTTCTACTCACCTTAGTAATTTACTGGAAAGTTCCGATGTCAATTAACAAGCCACACCACAACCTTGTAAGTTCAAAAACATTTTCATTATATCGTCACGGTTTTCCCTTCAAAGTCACTGCTGAAATACCATAAATAATCATACATTTCAACACCATTGTATCACCTTCTAACCATCTTGACGTCATTCTCTTTCATTCTCAATTCCCACCGGAAATGAGATTACACTGCCATCTGCTCGCCGACGTTATAACGAAAACTGAGACACAGGCACACCAATACGTGTAAGCTATAATTCCCCAAACCAGGGGCTCCAACATAAAGAGAAATTGAAGGGTGTCCAAGTTCTGATTTTTCAAAAATTTCTCAGACAAGAAACAATTCAAACAACTTACATAAATAAAAATAAATTGGTACTGGCAATTTATCATGTTAACTTTGAGGGAAGATACTTTGTAAGCCCCATTCAGAAATCAGAAAACTGCATTCCCAACCAAATGATACCTATGTTCAACAACACTCATTGGATTCCATGGGGTACATCAAGACATGATACTAAAACAATTGTTTTGATTTCCCAAACAGGGAGTAAGTGCTTCACATTATAAAAATAAATATTCTTAGCAAAATTCCACCTGAGATAAGTCATTAGGTGATGACCTGCAAAGGGCACAATGACTATTATTTGATTCCCAGTAGGAGCAAGGATTTTTCTGCATCTTACTGTCTCCTACCATTACAATAGGCACCAGGAGCTATTTCCCCAAGGCAAAGTAGCCAGAATGGTAAGTTAACCACTGACCTTCATCTAGTATTCAGGTTAACAATACATGGACAAGAAGTCTTGATGGAGGAGAGAGAGAATGGTTTGGGTTGTGAATGGCATTATATCATACAAGATCAGAAGAACTGGGAAGATACTGCACACTTTGCCCCTTCAACATATGTGCTAAGTTAAAGTAAGTAACCATACAAGAGAATATATTCTGAAAGAATGGCAGGAAGATGCCAAGTGGTACTATTCATGGGACACATAAGAATACGTTAAATTAAGTATTTATTATTAATTAAAATTACAATGGCCACGGAATACAAAGCAGACACATATTTGTACGCACTACACCAATTAGTGTCACCAGAGTGCATGGACAACTGCCAACCTATGCAACGTTGGTACCACTGCCAGGGGACAGAGAAGCCGCTAAGCCACACCTCCTTCTTCCTCTCCATGTCATTCTGTGGCCATTGTAAAAACTGCATACTGCAAAGACTTGCATGAGAAAAACAAATACACAAGTAAAGTGTTTATCCACTTGGCAGAGGGATTAACTTTCTGGGGTGACCTCCATAGGGCTTCTCTGTCACTAGAAGCAGTAGTTCACTTTAGAGGAGAGGGGATAAAAACTGCATTAAGAGGTTGTCCGAGGGACAGAGCTGCTGATCACAGGAAAATATGTGACTAATGACACAGTAACACAGATAACAAGTTCCACCCGGGCTGTGATCATTTGAATTTTTTTGTTAATTATAAATTTGGCAGTGCTTCATGTAAATAATGATATTCAGAAACTTCTTGGTTCTAACCACTTCAAATAACATATTGTTATGAACATGTTCATTTTCAATTCAACCAAAGTATAATCAGTGTTTTTGATACACATAGTGGATAATCATGACTTGCATAATTCAGATCAATCCTACGAACGTCTAAATTCTGTTATTTAGGCTGCATTCATGCACAACATCAAATCCAATGTTTTCTGCAAATAAACCATTTTCTTAATTCTGTCTCCTATTTATGTTATATTCAAGTATCTGAATTTTCTAAAATGATATGACATAAAATTTTCATTTGCATTCCAGTTACAGAATGTTGTATTGTATTGTTACTACAATCTGTTTCTGAGAATACAAGCACCCAAGAGCACACGTGTAATGAACGATACACAGCAAAGCAGATGATAAGAAACATGACCGGTAGAAACTCTTCAGTTCAACATATTCCCCTAGCGAACCTTTCCTCCTCTGCTCTCATTATGAATTAATGTCCTCAAACTCGTACTACTCTGGAAATTAACAACAAGGAGTACAAGAAATGTCATGAGAGTATAATGCTTAGTGGCTAGCGAACTTTGCTCATTTTGTAAACAAAATGAGACAGACAAAAGTTTCATTCACACTTATACCATTACTCCATAAGCACCAAGCAGAACATGTACAGATATGTCATAACTCCAAAGCTTGTTTATATATTGAAAGCACGAGTATTGTCTGTTCCCCTCTGGAGTATTTACAACAACAGATTAGTGCGGAGACATTATTTTCAAGAACGCGGTGACTCTACACGTGAAATATGGCACAACAGTTAAGTCAACAGTGCAAAAGAATTAGGCTTCTAAAAGATGTAGCAGAAAGAAATTCCTATTCATAAACTGAGTTCAAATTTAAATTTATATATTACACAACCACTTACATTTTAAAATTTGAAATTTATATTTATTTCCTGCATACTCATGGCATAGTTAACACCTAAGTATAATAAATGCTTTAAATTACCAATGTCACAATCCCTACAAGTTTTCATAAGATTTTATAAGTAATTAGTTGTCTGTTCTGCTTCTGTGGAGCAGCATAGGTGCGAACTCTTTACTCGCTTGGTAGTTCGCCACCCACTGCTTACATACATATATTCTGGTTTCAGCTTCATTTCGTTTTACAAAGCCATCAAAAACTGGACTACATAAAACACAGATTACAAGACACTTCTGTTTGATATAAGTTTCTGCCCTGTAGGTGATATCCAGTGCAAAATTTGCATGATACAGCAAGCTTCACTTCTAGAAAAATGCCCACTTTTATAGACTTCTACTTTTTTTTTTTTCACACACCATGAATAATTATTAAACTTTAAAATAAAACATGCAGACTCTTATAGGTTACATTATTGTAAAGACTTGACAGTGTGAGTATCATTTTTACAATAGGTAATGGAGCAACTTCTTTTTTATTTTCCATATTTAAAAAAATGCGATATGATACACTGAACCCAAGTTTTACAAACTTTTTTTTGGGAATTTTGAAACATGAAATACATTTCTATTAAGGTAAAGGAAGAAATAAAATGGATACATCATATACAATGCCTATGATTTTTTTAGCTACCATCAAAATATGTAATAAGAGTGTTGCTGGGACATTGAACTAAATACTTGTGCTTAATGAAGCCTCTAGAAATAACCTAAGTTTTGTACAAAAAAGCCATTTTCAAGATATACAACTTGCACCCGACCACACACCACACTATTTATATACTAACAGTAATACAATTAGAAAAATTAAAATACTATGGCTGGAGGGAGCTTCATCCTGTATTGCCACAATGCCTATCAAAATTCATCTCCAAAATAAGCCCTTTCGAATATTATTTTACATACATTTATTTTGTATTATTAAGAATGCAGTGTAAAAATAATAAAGCAATCATGAATGGTGAAAATTATTAATAAAAGTTCTGGAATGATAAAAAGAGAGAGATTATTTCTACCTACGAAGATCTTTTGCTCTTCTCCATTGTTTTGAAAACTCTTTCATGAAGACAAATTTCAACTGTTACCTGACTGCTGAAAGCATTCTGCTTGTTTATACACTGTACAATAAGAATGGCTGGTGCAGCCAAATTAAACACTCACTACAGTAATGCAAGAGACTTGCTGACTGTTACCAACTCAACCATTAGCTACATCAGTACAGTGTGTCCACAAAGTCCCTTCGGGGTTTTGAAAAATTGTGGCGCGCAAACAAATTGAGCTGGCCACATGCGATTTACAGTGAAACTCTGGAAGTTTTTTACTGACCTCAGTAGACCTCGATGTGGGCTCCCTTGGTAGCACGGAGAACGTCCAGACGATATTCGAGCTCTTGCCCTGTTCTGCAGAGCATGTCTGCTGGAATAGCCGCGATCGCATTCCTGATACGGGTCTTCAGGTCATCAAGTCTGTTAACTGGTGTTCGGAACACATTGCTCTTGACATAACACCACAGGAAAAAATCCAGTGGTGTTATGTCTGGTGAACGTGGAGGCCAAGGCATTGGATGGTCTCTGCCGATCCATATTCCTGGAAACATGAACACCTACCTGGACCTGCTGGAACTGTACGCAGTACTACAAATTGAGCACTTACAGCCACACATCATTCTGCAACAAGATGGTGCTCCACCTCATTGGGGTCTGCAGGTACGCGCGTACCTAGACAGGACATTTCCAGGAAGATGGATTGGCAGAGACGGTCCAATGCAATGCCTTGGCTTCCACGTTCACCAGACATAACACCACTGGATTTTTTCTTGTGGGGTTATGTTAAGAGCAATGTGTTCCGAACACCAGGTAACGGACTTGATGACCTGAAGACCCGTATCAGGAATGCGATCTCAGCTATGCCAGCGGACGTGCTCTGCAGAACATGGCAAGAGCTCGAATATTGTCTGGACGTTCTCCGTGCTACCAAGGGAGCCCAACATCGAGATCTACTGAGGTCAGTAAAAAACTTCCAGAGTTTCACTGTAAATCGCATGTGGCCAGCTCAATTTGTGTGCGCGCCACAATTTTTCAAAACCCCGAAGGGACTTTGTGGACACACTGTATATTTGAAATGGTTGCAGCCATATTATCAATATATGATTAATGTTAAAGCACAATGTACTCATATATAAACTAAAGAGGGAGCCACCAACTGACAGACGGAGTTTTTTAACATTCGGATACAAAACAAATGACAATATAAACGACAGTCACTAACATATTTTTTTAATGAGTTTTATGTATGACCGATCTTAATCTTACTATCAACTCCTAGATGGCATGGCTAGCTGCTAAATTGTGGAAGGAATGGTATTCAAAATTTGCCAATTACTCCTTCACTTCAAAGTATTTGTAGGTTGGATTCTCATAGCCATTGATCTGCATGTTGGCCACATGCCGCTCTTCAGGGGTGGCTGCCTGGTCCACCTCCACAAACCCCTGCAACACATTATTATCAAATGTCAACAAATTTCACTAAAATACCTTTTGAAGATAGCAGTCTTCTTGGTTATAGTGCCATGTAGTCTGGTAGAAGTTTACTGACATTTTCAGATGTACTTGCTGTCTCCATTGTCAGGGCACCACAACCAGAAGACTGCCATCTACATGCATGCCACTGTGTGAACCAAAAATCCTCCTAAAATACTTTTTCATTCCAAACACCGTACCAAAGGGAGTGTACAATTACGGGACATAAACCATATTATTTAAATAGAGAAAACAAACACACTGACTACAATAACTGCAATACCATTATTTTAGAATATTATAGAGTTCCAAAATACTTCTAACCACAGAATCAATATTCAAGAAACTATCAGATTTCCAAAATATTTTTTTTTACAGGATATAGCAATACGAAGTGTGGGTCAGTAATTAATTTCAAGTGATATGAGTCTAGCCACAAGAGCAATTATAGTAAAATGAAAGTTTAGTATTGCCAATTATTGTCCTCAAGGTCGTAATCTTGTGGGTTGTTACAACGCTTCTCTTATTATACGACATCATAACCCAACACAACTGACAAATTCACCTCAAATCACAGAAAGTCTGGCATTATCTTTACCATTAAATAACAGCCACTTACTTACTTACTGACAATACACAATCTGAAGATTCATCGCTGCAACAAAGGTATACTGTTGAACAATATGCATTAATTATGTTTGTAACCCAATTAACATCTACTCTAAAGTTTATTATCTGGAATCAGGTTATATTTTGTTACATTTGTGCTACCTTCTTATTTGTAATAACTGTATTTCACTTATTTTGTTTATTTTTGGACCTGATTCTGAGGTGATCGTGCGCTCCTCCTCCTGAGTACAGCAACACCAACGATCACAGCAGCCATCAAAGCAATTCCGGCGAAAGCAAGCGTGAAATAGATGCTCTTACTTTCCCGGTGATATACCTCACGGCGAACCGAGTATGTCTGAGAGGACAAACAAAGCATCAGTTCATATTTTAATATATTAAATGCGTAGTAAATGGTTTTATAAAACATATTCAAGACAGATAAGAATTTACGAGTTATAAAGGATCATGTAATGTTATTCCAACAGCTTCCTTCCATTCCATGCTGATTATTCTTACAAAATTTACCCTGAGATCATTTTCAAAACCAACAACGAGAAGGTTTCTACTGCAGATAATTTCAAAAGTATTCCTCTATAATCTTCCATTAACAGCGGACTCAACTATGAGCTTACAGATGAATGAGACGGGGGTTCATGAACTTAGAATTCAAAGCTTTAAAAAGAAGTTTATAACAGCTGAAAGGTTTAACATTCAATTCATACATAGAGATGCGATGACTCACCGCTTCACCATGGCTAACGTCATTGGCTTGCGCATGGGCAACAAGGGCAACGTCCACCGTGTGTGGCTGTGCTGCCCCTGGGGCAAGTGACGGAGGTGACACGGTGTTGACCGACTCATCCACGTGTTCATCTTCCATGGTCTCTGGGTCAAACTTATCATGACCGCTCAGCTTAGCATCTACGTGATGCTTTTCTTCGCGCAGCTCTACACGTTCCTTCTTACGTTGCTCCTTACGCTGTCTCTCCAACTCACGTTGGCGCTCCTTCTCTGAACACACAGGGAAGCGTTTCTTTCAATATTTCTGTCAGAAAATTTATGCATGCGTTGTTGGCGTTGCAACAGTCTTTCTATTAATGGGATAATTATTACAATTATGGGTGTGTATGATACTGCGTAGTCTCGCGCCGTAGCCGCGCGGTCTGAGGCATCATGCTTCAGACCAATGATATGTAACGCGCACTGGTTCGAGTCTCGGGGAAAGAAATTTCTCATGAGATTTTCGACCGGTGTATTGGACCGGTGCCAACCCAGCATCGTGAGGAAATTGGGGAGCTACAATGGGTAGCGTAATCCGGTCAGGAAAGCTAGCAATGGCTGGGGGTTCGTCGTGCTGACCACACGTCACCCTATATCTGGTTGGATGATCGTTCACCTCTGCTTAGGCATGTGAACGTGAGGCCAGCAGCCAGCTAGTCGGCTTTGGCTCTCAGAGGGCTGTTACGCCACGGATTATTATTATTATTATTATTATGATACTGCGTAACAGATTTTTAGGACCCTGCCTAACCTTCTTGCTTAGCTGCCACATCCGCGCGGTACTTTTCTAAGATGGCCGCCTCAGCATCCCGGGTCATGGCAAGCAGAGATCCTGGTGTCTCATCCTTGCTGCGAAGAGCCTGAATATAGTCCTCCATCAGTTGACCGATCTTTGATCTAAGATCTGGGAACCTGCAACACAAATAGGATTCACCAAACACAGGCTACACTTCACTGTCTCCATAAAAACGCTGCACTGAGGACATGGATTCTCTCTGTGTAGAACCTGGTTAAACAAGATAAACTTCGGAGTGAAAATGTATTAAAGAAAGCAGTTAAGCAGGAGTTCAAGATATGCAATTAGATGATGTACGAACTTAATTTTTAGCAACTGATGAGTAGAAAGCATGAATTTACAACTGGGGAGGGGGGGGGGGGAGTTAAACCTTCATTGGGGGGTTTCTCTGTATACCATAAACATTTCGTCACTGAATTTACAGTACATGCGCACTACAATCAACAACCACATTGATAATATTACCTGTCTAGCATCTGTAATGACTGATTCACCATCTTGTCAATGTCAGTGAGGTGCTCCAATGTAAGAGTCTTCTCACGCTCCGCCTGTTCAAAGCTGGAGGTCAGCAGATGGCGGTAGTGCGAGATGGTGTGATGGCGATCCTTGTGTAATGCTCGTAGTAGTTTCTGCAGACACTTTTGTACCCTGTGAGTCTGAGGGACAAAGACCAGAGTAAATGAGTGTTTTACATAAACTGAAAAGATTTCTTAAAATATAAAATATTACTTGATTTTATTTACTTAAAATGCGCTTATAAAATAAGAGAATACTTGTCTACTATGTAAAGTGTTACCATAATGCATATTTAGACCGTAATGTGATGAGGAAGTGCAATCAATGAGTAAGATAATTTGCCTGTGATAGACAATAAGAAACAGCGCTCACATTTGGTGGGCTGTCATTGAGTGCTTGAGTGTAGCAACCCATAGCTTCCTTCTTGCGCTCATTTATGTGCGCCATGACTCGCTGCTGATGCATGGCCACCAGCTGATGCTTTTCTGCATCACCCTCCTCCTCCAGTGCTTGCACCGTCTTCTGGAATCTCTGCGTCATGCGTTTCTTGAACTCATCTGCTCCTTTAGGGTCATTTGTTCTCACTTCCAGATCTGACCAGTCTTTCATTACCTGTAAAATAATCATCAGAAATCAAAGAATCCAGACACAGATTTCCTACTATGGGAAATATGACATAGCAATTTGAGATTAAGAGTTAAAAGTAATAAACCAAGTTCTGAGCCTTGTACTAAAGTCATTTGGACCTATGAAGAAGGAAGTAACAGGAGTGAGGGGAAAACTGCAAAATTAGGAGCTTCACCAAATACTGCTAAGGAGATTAAGTCATTAAGGATAGGAACATGGGAAAGATAACAAATTCATAGCGAGTAAGTGGAAAATGTGAAAGGAAGAGACCACTTGGAAGACCTAGACACAGATGAGATATACCGTCAGAATGGATCTTTGAGAAAACAGATGGGAGATTGTAGAATAAATTCACGTAGCTTCAGACAGAGGCCGATGACAGGAACTTTTGGACACAATAATGAATCTTTGGGTTATCCCAACAAGGACTCTACTCCAAGGAGTCAGTCATTTAGTTACTGTGTTACCTTGGTGACCTTCTCTCGATGCATCTCCTCAAGTCGCTGCTGTGCATCTTTATATGCCTGGTGCTCGAGCCGGGGGTCAAAGTGCGTGAAGTACGGATCAGGAGTGGGAACCTGTGTTACAGGGGCAGGAGAGGCGGGCTGGAGGTGACGAGCAGGCGAAGGAGTGGGGCTTGGGGTAGGCAGGGTGCCGGCCGTGCTGCTACTCGCATCTTCTTCGACATAGTCCTCCTCCTCCTCCTCAACACCATCCTCTGTCTCATTATCCTCTTCATCATCCTCCTCTTCCTCCTCATCTGTAACCACTTCCTCATCAAAAACCTCTTGCTCCTTTCCCTTGTATGCTGTCAAGTCAATTGGTTTCTTCGGCTTCATGTTGTCTGCAACAAGATATGTTCAAGTAAGTGATAAACATTTGGCAAGAGTCAAGGTCAAAATAGTCCCTGCACCTAAACACATCATAAAAACATATGGAGGAATGGAGATAAAACTCCATGCATTCTTCACCTAACTCCAAAGTGGATGGAGTTAAACAATCAGCTTCAAACTCTGGCCACTTTCCTTGAGGGTAAAATGGACAGAGCCTGAGGGGCCCAGAGCCAGACAGGACAAAGAGGGGAACAGAGACGACCCTGCCTGGTTAACAAACGCTGCAGGAAGGGCGACTGGAAATAATTCCTTTTTCCGAGCACAGTTCTGACCTTGACACGTACGCATGTCTCGTGAGATCCCTAAGACTGAGATCTGATGTGAGAGATCGCTGGTGCATTCCATCGCGAACCTCGCGTCCTGTTTCCGGTCGGCACGCGACATCCAGGAACGTAACCACGTACGGGAAACCGAACACCTCGCACAGGAAAGGGACCGATATCGTTCAATTCTAAAAATCCCCGATATTTCAACTGCCCGATACCTATTCTAATTTACAGGAAGCAGCAGCTCGAATACAAAGCGTACAGTTATAGAATTAATGAGTAATGAACCGAAAACGATATGAAAGCGAGCAATCGTGGTCAATTTTAAGGTAATACCCCGATATTCTCCTGGAAAACTGTGGAAAACTACGAACGAACTCTGGCAGGATAATCGGTGTCGACAAGCCGATAATCAAAACTCCCTATAATTTATCTAAAACTTGCATTTTTGTCTTAAGTTCGTGTATAAATCTGCAGAAAGATTAACTTCCCGCAGGGTTTGTGCCTTGGAACCTGCGAAGTCACGTTCAATAAAATAACTTTCCTTTCTGGTCTCTGCATGCATTTATTTGACAGGGACATCATATTCAGGGTTTGTGGATTTATTGAACGTCACATTCGGGCAAAGGTTTAAAACGCACTTAATTACCGCGTCACTTTGAGATGCGAACACCTGGCGGAGACGTCGCATGCTAGATTGATATTCCTCCTAACAATCGAGAGCTGCTGACATCTCCAGGGCAAACGTACTCGCTCCAACAAGCAGATTCGAGGCGTGACTGGTTGTGCAAAAATTCAGTTCTGTGTCAACAAAAGAGCCAGACAGCGAGGGGCATATAAGTCCAACATTTCCGCTCTCGGAATGAGAGTATTTATGGAGTCTGAGACATGGATATCTTTCTAAAATGTGTCTGTCTAATTTTGGTACACAATGCTTAATACCAACAGCTGTTTCTTCTTAAGCAAGAGCGAGACCAGTATTTTTGTAGCTGTAAAAGTATATCCACAAAATTTGGCCGTGTCCATCCTCGTAGAGGGCAAATGTTTTTATCGTCTCGTTTAATTTATAAAGTTGGCATCACACAGGACCAAAATCATGAAATAAGGGAACACTGATTTTTTTTACATGATGACCTCACTAATGCATAAAAATACTATTTATTTATGTAGACAAGCTTCAGTTTCAATATTAATAAACTTAATTAATACTTTTACATGATAACATTAAGGTAGATATTCTATTGGTTACAGGTTCAATAGTTCAAACGCGAACATAATAAAATGCAAAGATAATATCGCATTGAACGTGCATAGGTGCACCTCCCGGGAAGAGATACATAATTGACTTTTATATTCAGAGATGTTAGAACATTCGAATTAAAATATTATTTGAAAACTAAATGCAACCAAAGAATTCTTTTCTGGTGCGGAGGTTCGCGAATAAGATCACATCAAATCTTTTGTTCCTGAATGAGGTCATGGAAAATGTCTGCTTATGAATCGCTGCTCCGCACAGACGTGGGATAACACAGAGATCGCAGAGGGATTGTTTTTACACCACGTTCAACATGTTTCGGGTCACTGGAGACGCCTATGGTGATCGAGCTGTTCCAAAGCCTGACAACCAACTGTCAGGGGGTGTTTTGCATTTGTAAAGGTCCGAGTTCAATTTCCACTTCATAAATATCCCAACCACTACCATGTCCTCGCTGGCTCGAGTCCTTATCTACAATAACCTGCATAAATTAGGTAACACTGATCGATTTTCTTGAATAAAAAAAACACATCGAAAACTGAACTACGTAAAGCCAAAAGCGGAATAAATTTTTTTCAAAAGTCCATGGCACTGGTAACTGCTTTGCTCTGAAGTCTTTGATTCCTTGAGCAGGGGTTCGAACCCCAAGAACCCAGTGTCCGGGCGGTCCAGTGCCTGTTGCATCGGAATAGTCTTCGAAGAAACCTGATAGTCACCTAGCTGGCCAAGAAATTACCAGCCTTGTATAGAACCCGAAAATTCATTACCTTGTTCACACAAGCCCGTAACCTGTCCACACTCTGAGCCAGATGAGTCCACTCCATACCCTCACATCATATTGCTTTTAAGAGTAATTATCCTCCCACCAACTCCCAGCTCTTCCAAGAGATACCTTCCTTACAGGTTGACCAAGAAAAATTTTGTATTCATTTCTCATATCCTCCATCACAAAGTATGAATCGGAGATCGTGCTATGGCTGCGTGCTCACGATAACGAAGTTGAGTCAGTTCGAATGAATGATTTAATATGACGAGATGAATCCAAAGACAGAGTGATAAACGGCTTGATTCTCTAAGGAAATCCGGGGCAAGAGACATTTCAACACTTCTCTCTCTCTCTCTCTCTCTCTCTCTCTCACAGCCATTAGTATGTATGCCGCGTCGTATCTGCACGGGACGGACGGACAGACAGACTGCGCCGAGAATGTGAAGGCGACCGGAGTTTAACTGCTCAAACGAATGTCCCATCTCCTGAAAACTCAACAAGACGCTACTTGGCCTAGACACAGACATCACATGCACTTGTTAGCTAGGAAGTGGTAGTAGCCTACTTCAAAGTATTACTTGCCTGGAAGGGATAAAAGGCTTCAGCTAGAATAGATTTTACTCCGGCCGGAAGTTGAACCAGGAACCGACTGGATGAAATACAATAACTTGAGGAATTGTGAAATTACGTTACGGAATTATGGCATCAATAGCTTATTAATAAATTAAATGAATCCACATGTCGCAGGCATGAGACACAAGTACTACACACACAATTCTGGCGAGGAAGTACCGTGGAAAGCGGCCACAATAAAGACAAGACACTAGAACAGTTTCAACCTGTGGTTCTCGTGAAGAAATGCGAGCCCTCCATGGTGATTTATGTGTTGGAATTCTGCCTTTGTAGCCCGAAGAAAGCATCAATCCAGCCTTGGAGGGTTCGCGGCTCTCGCTTTGTGAAACGCCGGATTATAAGATAATATTAAAACGGATAAGGATGTGACGATAAGAGATGGATTATGGGGATTTTCAATGACGGGTACTGGTGGCAGGAATTTGTCCAGCCAGCCCCATGTTTCCGCTCAGTACAAGGACTATACATTTTTATTTAACATGCTAGAAAATGTAGTGTAACAATTCGGCCGCGTTCGCCAGAAAATTCTATCTTCAACGTAAGTAACCATAGTAACCATCTCTCACAAGTCGTTTCAGGCCAGAAAGAAACACACGTACTTCTTCATTAAAAGTGCTCGTTATTATTTCAGGTTTTACTTAAAACTAGAACGTATCATGAAATTTTAGTTTAACCCCTCAACATCAATTTTCATTATCATCCGTTCAACCTTTTTATATCGTCCAATAATTATTTCATGCGTAAGACTTACGCACAGAAAGCGTTTGATATGTGCGTGGAAGGTTCATTATCATCCGTTCAACCTTTTTATATCTTCCAATAATTATTTCATGCGTAAGACGGACGCACAGAAAGGGTTTGATACGTGCGTGGAAGGATGCAAACGCACCTACAAAGACCCTCTTGGACCCATCCCTCTTACAGATGCCTGAGTATAACCACGTCTACTCCTACAGCGTAAATGCCGCACGGTGCGTCAGGGGCTTGGCGAGGCAACCTGCATGGCAATCAATATCTAGACGAGCCCTGGACTACACTCCAGCGAACTGCGCGGCTGTAGGTGCCGAGCGATGGCTGACACATTTTAAGTCTGTTCAAGGTTTCCATTCAGAAAATCACAACTTCGAGTTCACACCGCGATGACGTATGCCTTTCATACATGTACGCTGTCGTATGACTCAGTCGACGTCCTCCACATTCACCGTCTCGACTCGAGGGCCGCGAGATTATAAATTAGGGCAGTTTGTTGAAACACCAAGATCTGAGGCTCTCACAGCGGTGAGTACAAAGTCGACCGTCTTCAGGATTGTAGATTCTAACACACTACACGGGGCTACAAACGTTTACTTAAAAAAAGTATCTTCACCTTCAACGACGCAAATCGATACAGTACAAATCGACTTTCCACCTAGGTCACTTATACGAATAACTTACGAGAAAATGCAATGGACAACCCGTCAGACCTTTCATTCTACTGTCAGCGGTGAGCGAGGTGTTAACAGTTCCGTGGATCACAACAGACAACCAAGCCTGCAGAGCACGTGTATGAAAATCCCCTCTGCAATACACCGCAAGACTTGTCTTAGTCCAGGAAACACTCAACTTCCTTAATAAAGACGCGTGTCTGTCGTGTGTAACTAAAACTGACTGAAACAGATGCATGTACCTAAATCTGAGGATCAGTTATTTACCTAGAATCCCCGTAATTCAAAATGCCAACCTAAGGATTTCAAAGCCAAAAAGACACCTGCGGAATGAACCCAGAAACTAAGCCAGTATTACTATATTCGGTTCAGCTCGTCTGAGACACAAATGACTGTCACATCGCGTCTATGAACTTCAGTGTCTGGGATTCATGATAATTCACTATAAATACCCAGAAGATTGCCATAGCAGCAAGGATCTCGACCCGGGAGGTACCAGGTTCGAATCTCGTTCGAATTAGCCGATTATCACGACTGAAGTGTTTTTCCTCAACATCTCGAGGACAATTCCAGTGCATTACCCTGAAACAATTATGGCAATATTCTGATGATATACCTTAATTAGTTGGTAATCGTGATGATCTCGTTAGATATCATATTCGTTAAGTAACCCGAGGTCAAACGTAACTTGTACTGACTTAAGCCCTTCGTCTACCGAGAAGCAATGAGATACATTTGCGAAGTATACTGCACAGATAAGGTGTGGATGAGTCACACGATGTACAAACCCGAAGTAGGAGAAAAACCTGTTCTAACGCCAATTCGTCCATCAAGAATCTCACATGAAATCACCCGAGATCAAACCCGAATCTCCGCGGTGACAATCCTCAACTACAGCAAGACCTACAAGTAAAGTACATATGGCAACAATCATGTCTTCGGACAATTATCATTACAAATAAGAATTATTATTATTATTATTATTATTTAGTGTTCTGTCTGACGACAGGTCCATACGAACAGGATCCTTCCATCCTTTTCTCGGACTGGGACCTGTTCATATACGTTCTTGGCAGATGATCCAGAAGTGGTTTGCCATTGCCTTCTTGTGTGTGTGAATGGAGTAATTGTTGGGATGCCATGGAGGAAAACTCCGTGTTGCCTAGACCACGGCCTTGCCCAACACAAGTTATAAATTCGGGCACCGCCGGGAATCGAACCCGAGACCCCAGGATTACAAGGCCAGCGTTCTAACCGCTAGACCACCGTGGCTACAAATAAGAATTACGTATTATTAATTTATTTTTCCTTCTTATAAACAATTTTGGCTCATACGGGTCATATGGGCTGCCATTTTATTTTAAAAATTAAAAATAAATACACGCCGTTAATTATGTATTTTAATAAAAGAAATACGAATAAAACCAAAACGCGTTGAGGTTACTTAGTGCATTTATTTAGTAAAATAAAGGCGCTTTTGAGTTCATAACTATCTAAAAAAAATAACGGATTTAATTAGTCCTGTTGAACGCCATGGCGGAACGAATATGAAATATCGAACAATAACATACTTCATTAACTCGTTTAATGAACTCTTATTATCGATGCGCGGTGGTATATATGTCAGGGGATTGATAAATTCAGTGATGTTTTAATTGAGACTGTATCAGTTTATACGCTGATATGTACTGCTGTTTACAATAGACTGTATATTGCTGATGTTTGTTTTGTTATCAGCGAGTCTGTTGCATTTGAGGTACGAAACACAGGCACAGGGAGGTTTACCAACACACGACAAAATGTAACAGACGCTCCATGACCAAGAATAATCGCTCACGAAGTCCCAAACACACTTAAACAAATATTTTGGACCAAAGGCACACTGTGTAAAGGAAACATGGCGAATAATGCATTATGAAGAGGTCGACAAACGTGACAGGAAACTAGAAATGCATACACAATTTTAGTGGTAAAAACAGCGTGTGAAAGTACGGACATGATCTCGTTCAGGACACAATTCTGCGGCGAGTGTAATAAAGATTTGGCTTCCATAAACCGCGAAGAATTTCTCAATCGGTTGACGGACTACGAGGTTCTGAAGATTGCTCCATGGAGAGAAGTAGTTACTAATTCCGAGTTAACTTTCAAAGAGTAAACTCGGAAAGAGATTCCGAATTTGTTTCAAAGCCCTTCTCAAGAAAAAGCAATTTCGATGCAAAGTGGAAATAAGTGAGACCATTCAGATTAATTAAAGATCTGGACGGAAGAAAGTTTCTTTTCATTGCGTTCCATCCAACTATTTCTTCAAAATATTTGACATAAACATCACTGTTCTTTTTTAAAAATGACCTCCTTTCGATATGATACTTGTCGAGGTAGAATATAAAGTCAGATATTTTAAATTATAGATCTTGTCATATGAACAGTTAATAGTGAGTGCAGGGAATCGTAATGAAACTGACGTCTTGTACACACGGCGCCTAAACGAAGGAGGTCAGGCTCCACAACAGCCAACACCTACAAAAGACTCGACGCATCGGCCGATTAGTTGCATTTAACATAGTTCTGTACACAAACAGAGGGACTTGATGATGGCAGCTTTCTATAAAATCGAAACGTAATGTTAAATAAATATAATGGAGTTGTAAATTGATACAGCAAACTAATTGAGTAGGTTTAATTAACGTTGTGGTAGCTATGGGCCAAATTGTTAAACACTACGTACTATCAAAGCCCGCCACTGTACACAAACCTGAGTCAATTCTATCCACCTCTAATACAAATGGTCGCACTCAGATCCATCTCTTTCTAGGTTTTCCACGTGGGGGTCTTCCGAAAGGCTTCCTCGTAGGAATCTCCGTTCGCAAAGTGCATCGTGGAACAAAGAGAGTATTTAAACAGCAGAAAATAAATTTTCAGAGAAGCAACTTGCATTGAATATTCTCTCCTCGGTTCTGATCATAACCACAGCTTCCTCAGGTGCGTGTTCTAACTTTGGTCTCCGCCGATTTGACTTTTGGTGGCGCGTGATTGGGTAGCAAATGCGACTTACCTTTGAAGTGCTTGGGACAACAGACGAATTCGACTCCAGAGAACAGAGAGATGCCACAGGGTAGCAACATGGCGAAGCTACGCAAGGAGAGGTCGCGGTCTAGACATGCCTGTGCAGCCGTCACGTTCCAGCGGTCGAACTGCCAGCACTTGGTCTGGTTGTGAATGTGGTCGAAAAGACAGTTCTCGGGAACCAGTAGGGCATCGCTCTGGAAGGGCCCCTCTGAAACAAAATGATTTTAATAAACACTAATTTCTCTGAGATAGTATAGCTGCGTCATATTGTGATATTAATTAAAATAATTATTATATTGGAAGATAATATTATATTTTTAATCATTTTAATTATCTTATCTTACTATTTTATTGTGATTTGACGGTAAACAAATATAATAATTAATTTAACTAATTTCTCTGCAAGTTCAAGCGAGATTCAAAAACAAACGCAACGCGACATAGTTACGACAGCTGGGGGTCAAACCCCGAACATTTTGGATACTATGCCACGAATTAACTTTTATACTGCTGGAATGAGCTCAACTGTCAGCCCTTATCTTAAAACACAAATATAAAAAGTTAGAAAGATGTATATACTCTTTGGAGTACAATGAAATTCCAAAGGCGTTCTCTACGCAACTTCACACGCGAATGGCACATACGGGTCCATAAGATGTTCTTACCTTATGGTAAAACGTAAAGGACACCTAAAATTCACATCCCGAACGACGCACATTCACGTATTACGTACGGCATACATCGGCCAATGGATAAGAAGCCGTAACAAAGCTGTAAGAATCTATAACTCCGATCCACCTACTTCAGAATTTAATACGCAAATAGGTCACTCCATAGCTTCAAAGATGACGCCTAATAAAGCGTATTAACAATCCTGCTCCTCCAGCGAGCATTTAAACTCGAGACGTTAATTCCGGCAAACATATCCGAGAGGTTGAACGTCCTTTAAGCTTATTAGAACCTTAAGTGCAGCATTGCCTACGATTCTCCGAACAAAATTTGTGAACAGATTTCAGTTTTCTCAAATTAGACGAACAGGGAAAAGCTCTCACAAAATAAACGCAAATTTCTCCTTTGTAACAAACGTAATATTTTAAAAGCGACATAAACAGATTTGTTAAGGTTCCCTGAGTGAATCCTCTTTGAAGTCGACTGTCATTGTTTTCATAATTCTGCTGTAAGTAATTCGTCATTCTCTAATCACACGCCAGATTGATTAAATTTTCAAAACTTACAACAAATTAAATCTTGGGCACCCTTAAGTGTCCTGTATCTACGCCATTTAATAATCTGACAATTCCAGAATATTCTGTTAAACAACTTCTCACATTTTCAAACAAACCGACGGTTCACTACTGTGTTCCAGAGCCAGATAATTATTTCCTGTCAATAAGATGACTCCTTAAACAATTTTTCTCTGAAATCCATTTTAAAATTATGCTCCCTTCTATGTCTATATCTTCCGAGTGGGTTATTTATTACCTTGAAGCTTTTCAACCGAAACAACGCAGGCATGCATTTCTCATTTCTAATTTCTCCAATGCGCGCTACGTGCCCTGCCCATCTCATTCTTCTTAATGCGATCAGCCTAATAATAGTTTCTCCGCCCTTCTATTAGGTGCAAATATTCTACTGGGCACCCTGTTCTGAAACACCCTCAATTTGTGCCCTTGAACGAATTTGAGAGACTCAAAAATCAAACAAGTAAAAATTGCAGTTCAGAATATTTTAGTCTTTACATTTTTAGATACGATAAGAATAGACAAAAGTTTCTTAGGTTGAACGGTAGCAGCTCGCAATTTCTCAGCGAATGTAAATAAGTAGTTATACAATATATAAAAGAGAATGATTTGCTTAATTAGCCAATTTATTGCGTATTACGTACATAAACAAAAATAACTTATGTCACAGCATGCTGACAACCAGTTCGAGACAAAGAACTCGGCTGCAATTTACATAACTGATTAAATTCTTTCATAGAGTTCAACAGTTAATTAGGGACAAAAATTTTGTGTCAGCTTCGGAGTCAGACCGCCTCTTTCGACTTTGGGTAAAACGAAGTCCTTTCCTTCAACAGGAACAAGAAAACAGGGCTGGAGAGGACGGGGAACTTACGTGTGGAATACGCCCTAATTAACAAGTTTATAATTTTGTTTCTTCCAGCAGTCAGCAGAGACACAGAAATGTCGAGGTACCCGTCCTTTTCAAGTTCTGAATCCTTAAATTACATTATTATTCTAACACGTAAGAAAACAGAAGCGGGAGAAATACGTCATAACTTTAATCCTGTTTTAATACTCTTATTTAAGCATCTAATACGAGAAGAAAACGAGGAGACGCCATATTTTGAGCTCTTATTGGCACACCGAAAGTTATCACGTGATCTGACGCCTGTAAACAGCGGTTCAAAGTGAATCAATACCTTCTACATATGAGTCTTTGATAAGGTAGGAGTCCCTCAGCTGAGTCGAAATATCCCTCTCCACTTTATGGAGACCGAAGGTTCATTACCGCGTTCACACGAGGCCGTGCAGATGATCCGGAAGTGGTTTGCCATTGCCTTCTTCTGTGTGTGAATGGAGTAATTGTTGGGATGCCACGGAGGAAAACTCCGTGTTGCCTAGACCACGGCCTTGCCCAACACAAGTTATAAATTCGAACCCGAGACCCCAGGATTACAAGGCCAGCGTTCTAACCGCTAGACCACCGTGGCGTGTCTTGAGATACTTTTAAATATTCTTTCCGTCTATGTCCACGTCTTCCAAATGACATCTTCTCTTCAGTTTTCCCAACAGAGTTCTGTTTAAATTTCTCATCTCTCCTATGCGTGCAACATGAGGAGGTCTTGGCAATGAAGTTCATGCCCATCAAAGTTTCTCTGCCTTTAAGCTACTTCCTCATTCTTAGGTAGAAACACTCTTCTCAGTTCTGTTCTCAAACGCCCTCAAACTACACAAATTTATTTGTCCAAAAACAAAGTTTAGAATATCGGTCTCTTCCCAATTTTGAAACAGATGCACTCCGATTAAACGTCACACGCGACATCAAACAGGCAAAGTTCCATCGTCTAAACATTGCTTTACATTAGACACCCCGGAGGTCTGTAATGGAGATCAGACACTTTGCATGCAAGTGTCCTTCGTTAGCTGAATATGAACAATGGCGAGATGCAGCCGAAATGTTTGAAAGGCGACACTGACTTCTGACCAAATTTCTCCTTCGTTCCGCTCCCTCTGCGAGTACAAAATCAATAAGTATCACACACGGGGGAAACACAAATAATAACGTTAATTAACAACTGACGTCACTTGTACGGACAGACATCGGTTTAGCCGTCAAAGTATACCGATGGGTCGAGGACAATGTAATATGATTAGTTTGCGGCTTCTATATATTTATGATGATAATAGAGCGACAAGTAGAATCACTATTTCCACATGCGCCTCAAAGTACAATAAGCGTACTCCATCACCAGGCGTTTAATGCAGCGCTGTACAGTTTAAACTTGAATTAACTGGATTCTAAATGCTAGATCTTCCGACTGTGTAGAAGCGTTGACATGCTCGAGCTGCTGGTAGCAGCTGAGTGTTGTCTGCAGCAAGAAGGATGAATCGCTATTCTACAGTGCACGTGCCCTATCAGAACTGATACAATTAAGTTTCATGTTATAGGAAAAGCATATACCAAGGTTACTTCTACCAGCAATAACAATAAAACTATTTCTAAAACATCACCACGTCCTAAAACATCTCTACTCCGAAAATGGAAACACTGCCTTCTGAATGCAGCTGACAACTTGGTTAAACACGGTTCAATCCACATTTTAGAGACGCTCTACCTCTAGACAACAGAGCTCGCGTCTATTGATACAGAATACTCTCATAGGCCAATAACACCCACAGTGAAGCCTGGATACGTCCAATAAGATTACAGGAGTTCAATTACGAGAATTATACCGCTTGTGCGATTACTGGTATTGGGAGTATCTGATTTGCTTTGACCTCGCAGAATGAAACGGTGTGGAAATATAACCATCAGTCACACCAAAATAAAGCGCAATATACAGCAGATATATCGGTAATCTCATGGAATGACTAAGTAAAACCACGCTATTTAATAATTTCATGTGCTGTGCCTCCTCGTAAAAGTGAGTATTAAGAAAGTTACGCGGAATCCACTGTAGATTTGATGTAATGGATGTCGTCATAATGTGAGACCGACCAACACTGTTAACAAAAGCGAACGGTCCAGCGTCAAGACACAGAACGCGTTGCTATGCAACCCCGCCGTTCTTCACTAGACCGAGACTTCAGGGGCAAGACGACCACTTGGTTTTGTCGGGATATAATGATGTTACTTACATTACATTCCCGGTACACGAAAACTTGTCCATAAACTACGCTCAGTCACTGAGAGTAATTGCTAGCTGCATAATTTTTCACGCAAAAGCACACCTGACCACTTCTGTTCCTGAGGCTATCTGACCACGCCGGCAAACACCCCAAGATGAATAATAAGTGTTATTAATTTCAGTGGAATGCAATTTGCAGAACGTATTGGAGATAACTAAGAGCAGGCGATGTCTATCATGGAAACAGGCAACACTCAAGGCAGTCCACCAGTACGCATGACCTGAATACGTGAGTATATCAGATCCTGTCCTTGCAGCTGCAAACTGGTAAGGTGCCTGACTTGTATTCGGGTCATGTCAGGTTTGAACCCCGGTTAAGGACCGTGAATAATGTTTCTCCCACCTCCATCCCGTGTTATAATTTCCACTCGAAGACCAACTAACCTGTCTCTCCCGAGGTTCTTCGGGAGTGTCCTCTGTTCCTCCGAACAAACCGTGACCAGATCGTCTTTGGTTAATCATTCAAAACTACCCCACCATAAGATGCTGTATTGTAAGTAAAGTAAAGTTTGTCCCACTATACGCCATGTAGGTGCTTGGGGGGAGTGGAGGTATAGCTCCTCTCTTCCTTGACCTCGGCACTAGATGGAGGTGAGTGGTCAGCATCACGCCCCGGCCGGCTTTACCCCCGGGAAAGGACCCCGGTACCCATTGTAGAGGAGGCTGGGTGGGCCCCAGAGCCGGTCTGGACGCAGACGCTAGAGGAAAAATCCTCTGCCCCAGTCGGGGATCGAACCCCGGTCGTCCAGCCCGTAGCTAGTCACTATACTGACTGAGCTATCCCGGCTCATGATGCT